CTCGTCTTTTCATGATCTAAGTGAAGTGTAAAACACTATTTAAAAAGAAGTTTAACATGGGCCTAGTGAATGCAATTTTTGCTGAATGCACCACATTTTTGGCCTTGTGTCAAACAAGAGACTAAGCTTGCTAAATTTCTAAAACAAATCAATTGAAATTAGAATTTAAAAATAATTTAAAAAAGTGATCAGTATGTCTTACTCAGTCTTTAAGATTAAAACAAAAATCACTTCTGAGAAAAAAAAAAAAGCAAAAATTTGGTTGGCATTTATTTATTTATGATTTATTTTAAAGAGCATCTGTAAAGGAGGTCATGAGAACGAAACAGTGTTTAAGGTATGATGATGCATTGAAGCCCCTTTCAAAATACATAACTGATTTACTTTGTTTACTTTTGAAAAATACTAGAATGAAAAAAAAAGTTAAAATAATAATAATTGTAAATAAAATTAAAATATCATTTGTTATCAATTGTTCCAATGGGTTGTGTCGTCGTCGTATTTGATCCGGTTTTATTCCCAAATGCAATAAAACTCCAAACTGAATGCCAAAATTTCCAATCAATAGGGTTTAAAAACGATGTGGTTTCCAAAGGATAAAAGTAGAAAACTAAAAAAACATACTCTATGCAACTAAAGTTTTTTTTCTTGTACCAAAGCCGAAAAAAAAAAAAATATGTTGATTAGAATAAATTAAACAAAAATTATAAAAATTAGTAATGTCATCCATTTGAAACGATGTAGTTTTTGTAGTTCAATGCAAAAAAGAGGGTGAAAAAAAATATAGGAACATTTTACTTCGATAGGTCAATAAAATGATCCAATTAATTTAGTCAGAATAAAATGAAAATGAATGCCATGGTAAGTTACTTGATTTTAAAGTAAATTTTAGGTAAATTTTTGTCAATAACAAATAAAAAAACCTTTTTATTTTACGATTGCGTGCATGATGAGATCACAACTAAAAAAAAAAAAACTAATGTGCTGTTTTGTTTTTCAAAAACAATGCTACTCATAAAGTGTGATGTAGCCAATAAGAATTTGTAAATATTTACACAGAAAAAATCTTTCCGAAATTAGTTTTGAAAAAAAAAAAAAAAAAAAAAAAAGTCATTTTATCGTGAAAATTGAAAATAAATTTAAGCTTTTAAAAACTAAAACTAAAAGTAACAAAAATAAAGTTATGAGCAAAATAAACTGTCAGTCTCTCTGACACGCACATGTTTTTAAATTTATTTATTATTGTTTATCTAACAATAATCTTTCAGTTCACCATTAAGCCAGAAAGAAAAATATCTTTAAAAAATGTCTGCTTAGTGAGTAAGAGTTGCATATTTACAATAGCCAATGTTCACAAATGAATGATTTCTCATGCTGATTTTCAGTGTGTGTGTTACTGTAAATTCTTAAGAAAAGCTGTTACTAACATTTCTGGCCTTATACCAAAACATTATTTGTACTTGTATTGTTTCATATATAGTACCATATTGGTCAATGTTCTGATACTTTTGTTCACTTCTATTGCAAAAACTAAAAACATGAATGTAGTTTTTTTTTGTGGTAGTAAGTATGCGGCATAAATGTCAGTAGACTCTGGGAGTGGAAAGAAAACAAAACTGGTCAGATGTTAAATAAACACAGTCTATTAACGTCTGACCGGTTTTATGCATTTTTTTTTTTCCTTCTACAAACAGGTTGGTAGAGACAGAAAATATAGTTATGATAAAAATATACCATATGAATTTCAGCCTTTGGATATATAACTCATGAGAAATTTAATTAGGCAACACAAAAAAAGCTGTTCATAAAAATAATTTTCAATTTTAGATAAAGTTTGTAGTGTTTTGTAAGAAAGATAACTTTTTAACAAGATATTGAATAAATGGGAACAATATTGGAAATTGTGAAAAAGTTAAACAGATCAAAGAACAAAAAAAAGTTATATTTAAATTTTTTTTTTTTTCTTAATGGTAATTTTCAGTGATCAATGTAAGAAGGCGACATTGGGTGGCTGATTTAATTTGGAAATAGTCAACCAACACGACATTAAAGAAGAGGTGAAGTAATGTTTTGGGGTTTTTAGAATTATAGGCAGTAATAAAAAGGTAAAAAGTTGATATGATTATTGTACAAGAAATGAAAAGAAATTAAGTTCTTTGACAACATGCGTTTTTATTTCACAATCGAAAGATTTTTCTTTGAATTTAAGATTAAAATATGCAATACGGAAGATATTCTGGTTTTTAATTTTATTTTTACTTTGATTTATTCCACAACTTCAAAATTAGGGGGAAAAAAAATCATCTTTTTTTTTCAAATGGAGAAAAATAATGGAAAACTATTTTTCAGACTACAATTTATCTTACTTCTTAGCTGAATATAGCAATGATTACATTTCATTTCAATTTCATGATTTCAACGATAATTTATCTGATCAAACGAAAAGAAAAAATTAAATGAAATATTAATAAATCACATCGAACTAAAACAAAAACGAACTCCGTTTACTTTTTGGAAAGATAAAAAAGACAAACACATTATTTTGTTGTTTGATGAAGGAAATAAAGAGAATGGAGAAATTACTTAAATGTCATTTCATTATTTATTCTTAATTTCCTAATCTCATTTCGATTTGATTCTAAAGTTTCTGGTTTAATGGTCATTTTTTTTTTAGTACATTTAAATAAATAAAAAACAAGATATTTCTTTTAAATCAATCAAATGATTATTAAAAGTGAATAAAAATATCTGTTATCCAAAAAAAAAAAAAAAAAAAAAAAGTTAATTTCGGAAGTAGGAATTCGCAATGTAAAAAATAAAAATTCATAATCGTCACTCCTTGATAAATGAAGAAAAATCAAGTTTTTTTTTTTTATTAAAATTAAGTGAAACTTTATTTAAGTGATTGATATCCTTATTTTAATTTTTTTTTTTATATATATTTTTAAAGTTAATTCAATTTTTTCTTTTAAATATAGCATTAATTATATTTTATCTTAATTACTTGATGTCAACGGATTTAATTTTTGGAGATTATTTCTGACCAATGTCTTCTTCACGCTGTTGTGATCTGTACCTTTTTGGGCCTTTGGCCATTAGTGTTTCTTATTGTCTTGCACACTTTTTCTTTACATTATTCAGAAAGCTTTAAAAATTCCATTTAAAAATAATACAAGACAATTGATTATAATAAAATTCCATTCAATCGGTAGACTCATAACGATTGAAGACAATGTTTTGTTTTGACCAATTCGTAAAAAAATGAAAAAACCTAATTAAGACATGCGTGTCCGTCAACCTTAAACAATCTTTGTCAATTTTATTTTTCAGTCTTTCTTTATGATAGTCGATACTGAGTCTGCCTCTTGTTACACAAGAAGGGCGCAGGGGGGGGGTCAGAAATTTAATTATTTTTTAATGCGTCATTACTAAGTAAAAATGAAAAGTTTCCCCAATATGAAACCAAGGGAAAAAAAAAAAAGTAGTAACACATTTCACTTCAGCACCATTTCTTCAGATTATTGTTAGAAAGCGAATTTAAATTATCAATATTAATGACAGGATTAAATAAAATAAACAAACGAATAACTAAATTTTTAAATGATTTTTTTTTTTAAATTTGTTTTTTACAATATCAAAAATTTACCTGAACGGAGTAGCTGAATTTTTTTTAGAAAATTATTTTTCTCTAACTAAAAAAAAAAAAGTCATTTCCCTGATCAAATAAAAAAAATTTTAATTAAAGTAAACCCATACTTTTCATTTAACGCAAAACTAGAAAAAAAAAAAAAAAAAAAAAAAAATGAAAGGCTTATTTAGAAAAATAAAGAATGAAGGTCTCATTTTAATATTTTTAAATTTAAATTAAATATCTTTCTCAGCGAGAAAAAAAAAACTAGTATTCTGTATAGTCTCTTCTTAATTGATTTAAAAATAATTCACGTAAAAAAAAAAAAAAAAAAAAAAATTTTGATTCTCAGAAATAATTAAGCTTTTTGGCCAACTGTTCAGTGTACAAAAAAAAAAAAATTGAAAAAAAACACATTTCATCCAAAACTATTTTCTTAAAATAAAAAACAAAAAAACACACACAATCAACAAACGAAAGTGTTTTTCCTTGAAAGAAAAAGAAAAATGTGATAATGAGTCATTCTCCTCAACTTTGTCTTTAATTTTTTTACATAACCTATTTTTTTAGGTTTGTTTTTGTTTTTTTTTAAAAACTGGGCGCAAGATTGATTTTTATTATTGACTATTGATACAGACATACGAACGTATTTGTTATGAGTGTAAAATAAGTAAAAAAAATCTTTCAAAATTGCCACATAAAATGACTGTTTTTAAAAGTAAAATAAAAACCAAAAATTAATTATAAAAAGAAAAAAAACTCCCAGCAAGTCGAAGATGAGGAAAATTCAAACGTAGTTTAATTTATAAATAAACAAGTTTTTATGACATTTTTATTTTAACAAAGATTCTGATTTTAAAAATCTAAAAATTCATTTTTTTTAAAAAACGAAAACAAAAACAAAAAAAAAAAACGGTATCTCACATTGTTAAAAAAAAAAAGTTTTTTTAGTGTTGTTTAGTTTAGCAGCTGTTTTAGTGTTTCACTATAGTTTTTATTTTTTAATTTTAAAAACTCTTTTAGAAAATGAAAAGAAAAATCAACATCCCAAACATTTTGACAGCTAAATTAAAACAATGCAGTCACGTGATCAAACATATCACCACCGATGATTTTATTAATTTAAGTCAATATTTTTAGAAGGAAATTGAAAAAGCTGGTACTTAATTTCGTTAATGATTTTTTCTTTCTTTCTTTATATAACAATTGCCATTTTTGAAACGATTCTATTTTTTTTGTTTTTTTTTTACATCAAATAGAAAAAAATCTTTCGCCTATTAAAAAAATATTTGATTTAATAAAAAATCTTTATTTAAATGACTGCAAAAGAGAGGAAAAAAAATAAAATAATAAATCCTAGAAAATCACTCACCGAAACTCAAAAAACACATAATCGAAAGGATGAGATATCGATGAAGGGCTTTTCGGGGATTGCATGGGCTGCAGGACCCACAATTACCAAGTTCATCTTCAAAATCGATGTCATCTGCTGTTTCAATAAGAGGCGCTTTTTCATCTTGTATGGTATCCATGTTTATGTTACGAACTCGGTTCGAGCAACCCAATCTTCACTCGGCTTGAAAGAAAAAAAAATATGATCGAAATGATGTACAGATGACAACCTTCAATGTTTTTTTATAAAGCGAACCACTTTTTGAAGCAAGTCAGCTGACACCATCACGTGACTATGATTATTACGGTGTAAGGCCAAAGTATTCACTGTTTCTTTTCTCACTTAGTTCAAAGGTTGCTTATCAAAAGTTAAATTGTATTTTATTAAATTCCTTTTTCCTAGATTAAAGTCTACTTGTAAAGTTTGTTGAACATTGTAATTATAGCACTGTATTGTTTACTGTTTATAACGTACCAAACGCAACATAAAGTTAATATGGATTAATAATTCGTTTTACTTACTTAATTTTCAAAATTCTTAGAGAGACTAAAAAGAAAAATTCGCACACACAGACACACACAAAAAATATATTGGAAATTAAGTCAGAAAATTTGAAAAATATCCATTAATTAAAACAAAATATGATCTTACTTATTATAAAACGCAGAGTGTGTGTGTGTGTGTGTGTGTGTACATTTATATATTGGATCGGATTTCCTACATTTTTCAACCGATTTCAACAAAACTTCACAGGACTACGTAAAATTATCTTGCGGTGGTTCTAACAGCGCCAAAAATTGGAAAAACACAATTGTTTTTGCACGAAATCAATTTGAAATCACGATTAAGAGGCATCGCAAGAATGTAAGGGGGACAACTCATATCGAGTTATACTTATTATAAAACCCAGGTTGTTTGTGTGTGTGTTCGTTTATACATGGGATCGGATTTCCTACATTTTCAACCGATTTCAACAAAACTTCACTTTTTTTTTTGGCAGGTAGTATTTCTTATTGTCTTGCACACTTTTTTCTTTATATTTACATTCAGAATGCTTTAAAAATTCCATTTACAAGACAATTGTTTATAATAAAATTCTATTCAATCGGTAGACTCATAACGATTGAAAACAATGTTTTTGTTTGAGTTTGGGTTTGACCAATTTGTAAAAAAAAAAACAAAAAAAAAAAACTAATTAAGACATAAAAGAGAATACTAGTGCGAATAAACGTAGTCATGTTGTCATTTTACCTCAAGTGAAAGCTACCAGTAGTGTAAAAATATATTATTATTATTATCAACAATAATAGACCAGACATAGTGATTAATAAAGAACTGTTCATCTATTCAGAGAAAAAGAAGGCATTCATTTTTTACGCCTAATGTGTCTTGGCCAAGTAGATCTAGAGGATCCTATCCTTTTCCAGGTCAAACTACAGTCATTGTTCTCCGACTTGAATGCTCATCTTGATTACGGATACGTGGACGTTGATTCCATCGGGGGAATCATCTGTCGTGGCTGTTGAGTTCTTCGAGGAAGTTTTACGACTAGCGATACCCTCTGGTAACTTTCAGGAAATTTCGAACTGAACCCTTGAAATTCCATGAAGACTATGCAGATCAGCTAGGATCCAGATTTTATATACTCAAAACTTCAAAAATTAAACAAAATATAAGCTCCAAATTAAGTACACAACTAACGTAATTTGATTGGTTTAAAAATATTACATGGCATGCCATCGACTACGTCCGCACGTCTGACCTTAATTTGACCTGATCAAAGGTACATTTGCGACAAGATTTTAAAACATTTTCTAGGGCCTATTATGTGACTTATATTGCTTATACAAACAATTAAGAAACAGGGTGTGGGGTAAATCAGCCGAAAAAGCTACACATTACGTGACGACACTCATCATAAAATAACTTTCAACTTAAGTTCAGACTATAAGTCGCAAATCTTTTTTGCCATAACCGCAGTCTATTTCCTTAAACAATGAAGCGACAGACACTCAAACGTCAAACACAACGTAAGTCACACTCACACACGCTTTTCCACAAACTTTGAACTGCTTATTTTGAATATAAACAATATTGCATTGAACTGAATTTGTCAAAATTCACACAAATTAACCTACAACTTGCAGTCTATCATACTGGAACATTATCTCAGACAACAATCTAAAAAGACAAGTTCATTTCACCATTTTAAACAATATTCATAACTATTGTTTTGTACTTTGTTTCTAATGAAATTTGCCAGTTTCTTAATACTTTGCTTATTTTTTGGAAGACATTGTGGACTCTTCTAATTTTCTAACCTTCTCCAACCTTAAAAAAAGCATAATCCATATTATACGCCTACGCGCAGATAACGCTCAACCAATAAAAATGCAAAGAATCGAATCAAGCAATTCTATTGGTAGATCGCCTCCCAAAGCAAGAATTGCGCCAAAATATCTTGAGCCACTTTCGAAAACCCAAAAGGTTATAAAAGGAGAAAAGACAACCCCAGTCAGTTAGTCCAGCTCACTTTTCAACTGCACAGTTCAACTCTCTGTCTCCGGACGGAAGGAGAAAGCTACGCCGAAGGGCGAAGTCTCCTTCAGGAGAGTTAAGCTCGCCCTGAACCCGTTTATACGGGTTCAAAAAGCTGAGCCTAATTTTTGGCTGAGCCTAATGGCAAAGGAATAATTTTGTTTTAAAAAAGGCCTTGTGCCGCATGACACCCTCGTGGGTGGGTGACTGAATATCTCAGTCTAGTCTCCGGACAACGAACTCGCCGATCGATTGAACCCTAATTAATCCGACATTCTAAAAACATTAAAAATTTTACCGCGCATTTTGACGAACCAACTGACTCACCTGAAACACTCAACGAACAACTATCGAAAACTTTGAACAATATTTCTTATGCACATTGATTTATTCATTACTAAAAATAAGAAATACTGTTGGGACTTTTGGTTCATTTAATTAATCAGAAGGATTTTGTTCGGATCGGTTGTGTGTCTAAACCTTGTCCCAAACAAATATATAACAAATATGAGATTTCAAACAAAGTAAAAACGAGACATTTATAGATCGAAACAAATAAAACATTTATATACAATTACATATTTACAAACAAGGTTAATATTTGTATTGTTGCGTGCGTTAATTGTATATGTTGCTGAAATGTTGGATGTCTCTGTGTCGTTATGTTTGTTATTTTGTGTTTGTGTTGAAATATATAATAAGGTTTTTTTTGGTAAAGTTTGCTAAAGTAGTCTACCTTTGAACGTGTCTGTGTTTGTTTTCGTGATTCGTATTTCTTATTTTAGTAATGAATAAATCAATGTGCATAAGAAATATTGTTCAAAGTTTCGATAGTTGTTCGTTGAGTGTTTCAGGTGAGTCAGTTGAAGTTCGTCAAAAATGCGCGGTAAAATTCTGTTTTTGAATGTCGTGGATTAATTAGGCAATCGATCGGCGAGTTCGCTAGACTGAGATATTCAGTCACCCACCCACGAGGGTGTCATGCGGCACAAGGTATTTTTTTAATGTGGGCATTCCTGAGCCATTAGGCTCAGCCAAAAATAGGCCCATTTGAACCCGTATAAACGGGTTCAGGGCCTGAGTCTATCCTCCCCGAAGGAGACTTCGCCCTTCGGCGTCTTATTCCTTTCGGGTTCCCTTCCGTCCGGAGACAGAGAGTTGAACCGTGCAGTCGCTCAGAAAGTGAGCTAGACTGAGATATTCAGTCACCCACCCACGAGGGTGTCATGCGGCACAAGGCCTTTTTTTAATGTGGGCATTAATTGAGCCATTAGGCTCAGCCAAAAAATAGCCCATTTGAACCCGTATAAACGGGTTCAGGGTTGTTTAACCTCCCGAAGGAGACTTCGCCCTTCGGCGTAGCCTCCTTCGGGTTCCTTCCGTCCGGAGACAGAGAGTTGAACCGTGCAGTCGCTCAGAAAGTGAGCTAGACTGAGATATTCAGTCACCCACCCACGAGGGTGTCATGCGGCACAAGGCCTTTTTTAATGTGGGCATTCCCGAGCCATTAGGCTCAGCCAAAAAATAGCCCATTTGAACCCGTATAAACGGGTTCAGGGGCCGATTTAACCTCCCCGAAGGAGACTTCGCCCTTCGGCGTAGCCTCCTTCGGGTTCCTTCCGTCCGGAGACAGAGAGTTGAACCGTGCAGTCGCTCAGAAAGTGAGCTAGACTGAGATATTCAGTCACCCACCCACGAGGGTGTCATGCGGCACAAGGCCTTTTTTAATGTGGGCATTCCCGAGCCATTAGGCTCAGCCAAAAAAATAGCCCATTTGAACCCGTATAAACGGGTTCAGGGCCTGGCTAACCTCCCGAAGGAGACTTCGCCCTTCGGCGTAGCCTCCTTCGGGTTCCTCTCCGTCCGGAGACAGAGAGTTGAACCGTGCAGTCGCTCAGAAAGTGAGCTAGACTGAGATATTCAGTCACCCACCCACGAGGGTGTCATGCGGCACAAGGCCTTTTTTAATGTGGGCATTCCCGAGCCATTAGGCTCAGCCAAAAATAGCCCATTTGAACCCGTATAAACGGCTTCAGGGCCGAGTTTAACCTCCCCGAAGGAGACTTCGCCCTTCGGCGTAGCCTCCTTCGGGTTCCTTTCCGTCCGGAGACAGAGAGTTGAACCGTGCAGTCGCTCAAAAAGTGAGCTGGACTGAGATATTCAGTCACCCACCCACGGGGGGTGTCATGCGGCACAAGGCCTTTTTTAATGTGGGCATTCCTGGAGCCATTAGGCTCAGCCAAAAAATAGCCCATTTGAACCCGTATAAACGGGTTCAGGGCCGATTTAACCTCCCGAAGGAGACTTCGCCCTTCGGCGTAGCCTCCTTCGGGTTCCTCTCCGTCCGGAGACAGAGAGTTGAACCGTGCAGTCGCTCAAAAAGTGAGCTGGACTGACTGACTGGGGTTGTCTTTTCTCCTTTTATAACCTTTTGGGTTTTCGAAAGTGGCTCAAGATATTTTGGCGCAATTCTTGCTTTGGGAGGCGATCTACCAATAGAATTGCTTGATTCGATTCTTTGCATTTTTATTGGTTGAGCGTTATCTGCGCGTAGGCGTATAATATGGATTATGCTTTTTTTAAGGTTGGAGAAGGTTAGAA